AGGAAAACTCACATTGGGTCCCACAGGCCCTTAATCCCTAAGCAGCTGTAGCAAGTCATCCTTTTAAGAGCCCAGCCTCCACAAGACTGCATCCTGCCCAGGGACACTACGGGCCAGGCACTGCCATAGCTCTGGTAGTAGCTGCACAGGCTACTGCCACCAAGGCTAACATGTGAGCCTTTAACAAATCCTCTTCCCCCAGTGGTGAGGTTGCTGCACATTTTCACATTCCTGAGGACACATTCTCCTGCCCATACTGGCCTCTGCTGCTTCTAGGGCTGAAGCAGGAGAGACCTGTATGATCCTCAGCTGCCTGGACAAAGCTGCTGCCACTGAAAGAAGCCCTGCCCTTACTAGGAAAGGGCTGCAGCACAACTGCAGCCAACCCACCTGAGCATTCCATCTTGGGCCTTGGGATCACCCCACTCTTACCTACCACAAACAGTGCCTGCACATACCAGGGAGCCTGAGAAAAGGTCTACCTGGCCTGGCTTCACTGCCCTAGTGTCTAAGCATGACATCTGTGGGCCTTGAGAATGCTTAGCCCACTTCACTACTACTGACATCTGAGTACTCCTTCTGGGGTTCTGAGTTTAGGGCCTCCCAACCTGTTGCTACCACTGCAGTTGATACTCACTTGCATTCAATACCTCTAGGAATTGAAACTAGACAAGGGTGCCCACTTTCATCACTCCTGTTTAACATAGCATTAGAAGTCCTAGCCTGAGCAGTCAGGCAAGAGAAAGAAATAAAAGTTATCCAAAGTAGAAAAGATGTAAAATCATCCCTTTCTGCTGATACTATAACCTTATATCTAGAAAAGCTTAAAGCCTCCACCAATAAACTCTTAGAACTGATAAATTCAGCAAACTTGCAGGATAAAAAAATCAAAATATAAAATCAGTAGTATTTCTACACATCAGTGACAATCAAGCTGAGAACCAAATCAAGAAAGAAATTCCATTTATAGTAGTTACAAAAAAATAATACACTTAGGAATAAATTTAACTAAGGAGACAAAAGATCTCTACAAGAAAAGCTACAAAGTGCTTTGGAAAGAAATTACAGAAGATACAAATAAATAGAAAGACATTCATGATCATGGATCAGAATAATATTGTTAAGATAAGATCACCATACTACCCAAAGTACTCCACAGATTTTATGTAATATTTGTCAAAATACCTACGTCATTTTTCACAGAAATAGAAAAAAGATTCTGAAATTCACACCAAAAAAAAAAAAGGCCTAGAATAGCTAAAGCAATCCAATGCAGAAAGAACAAAGCTTCAGGCATCACACTGCATGACTTCAAAATATATTACAACCAAAATAGCATGGTACTGGCATAAAAACAGATGCATAGACCAGGGGGACAGAACAGAGAATTCAGGAACAAAGCCACATATTTCAACAAAGGTGCCAAGAACATACATTAGGAGTAATATATTCTTTTCGATAAACGGTGCTGAGAAAATTGAGTATTTATATGGAGAAGAATGAATCTAGACTCCTATCTCTCAGCATATACAAAAATCAAGTCAAAGTGGATTGAAGACTTAAATGTAAGAACTGAAACTTTAAAACTACTAGAAAAAAAATAGGACATGGTGAAGGCAAAGATTTGGTGGATAAGACTAAAAATACAGACAACAAAAGCAAAAATGGACAAATGGGATTATATTAAATTAAAATTCTTTTTCACAGCAAACAATCAACGAAATGAAAAGAATGTGAGAAAATATTTGCAAACCTTGCATCTAACAAAGTAATAATATCCAGAATATACGAGGAACGCAACAGAAAAAAAAGAAAGGATCCCATTAAAAAGTGGGCAAATATATAGTCAACATAAGGGTCTATATAAGGAATGAGGACGACCGTACTGATATGTACATGCAGTTTACTTTCTTGTATAGCTTTTATTAGAAAAGATGATATGAAATCATACATAATTAAAACATACTAAAATCATGTATGCAGTATTATACAAAACCAATACGTTTACTGTTTTCTCATGTTTTAATCATTCCTTCTAAAAAAGCACTCTTCCTTATTCTTATTACAAACATTAAGTGGAGAAAGCACTCTCAACGCTGCCTATACCACTCAGCATACCTGAGCATTTTCCCACAGCAAATGACTTCAACTGAATTATCAGATGCCTGGCATCCTCTTCCTTTGGAGTCTGCAATTTTTGTGTCATCCTCACTACCTTCTTCCACTTCATCAGCTGCTTCATGCGCTTTTACTTTGACCTGTAATTTGGTCAATATTGCTCATAAAATTGCTTCTGGGTCAGGTTCATTACAGTTTGCCACCTCATTATTTGTTGCAACAAAACGTTCCAAATCTACCCCTTCCAATTCTGCTACGGAGATGGATTGTCTGATGGGGCCAAAACTTGTGCTCTTAGGTCATGACAAACCCAGCTTTCTTGAAACTCTTCTGTATTGTTTTTGGCTAAACTTTTTCCAAGCAGAACTGATCTAGAGGACAAGATCCAGAGCATTTACTGGTGCAGCAGAAGTTGCTTCCACAGGAGGACCACAGGTTTGTGTTCGACCCGCTGCAGGAGCTGGGCTCAGGAGTGCATTTTAAATGTTTTGATGATGTCTTGGTCAAGAGGCTAGACTTTTGAGGTTGTGTTTCAGTGTCACGTTTGTGAAATAATCATGCCACTTGTAGTGGCTAGGCCAGTTGTTTCCTGTCAGACTGTTCTTCTTCATCTCATGGTTGATGCCCTTTATCCACTCCTCAAATAGGGAACCAGTCATCCATGCACATTTGTTTGATCTCCAAGTGACAGGAAGTCTTGTCTATCAAGACACTTCAGGTTCTTTTTTTTTTTTTTTTTTTTGGCCTGGGCTGGGTATGAACCAGCCACCTCTGGCATATGGGATCAGTGCCCTACCGTTTTGAGCCACAGGCGCTGCCCGACACTTCAGGTTCTTGATTGAATGCACATGGCTTTGCCAATTTACTCATCACCAAGGGCTTTAGTTTCTCTCTGGGTGAGCTAACGCAAAGCAGAACTATGAAATGTTCTTTGAAAAGTTTACATTTGTCACTCTTTATAACAAAGCTCCTGTCAGGCATCACCTTGAAAAAGAGCCCGCTTTAATCAGCATTAAAGATATTATCTTTGAAGCATCGGCTGAAGTATGGAAAATTTTTGATGAACTCTTTCACAGCTTTTACTGGAACTTCATTTGGTTCATGGTATAAGATTTCTTGGGAGATCTCACGTCACATTTTAAAGTTCTTGAGCCAACCACGTGATGATTGGAAATTTACCATCCTGAATTTCTGTGTAAATTTTTCAGCAACTTCTTAGATCATTGGTCCAGGCATTCAGGCATTGACTACTATCATTTGTTTAAACCAGCTTAAGGTGGCTTCATCAACTTCATCAAGGGAAATTTTCCTCCTTTTCCATTGTAGATTTCCACTTTCCCTACCATATCTCTCAAGTACTCATGTTTACATTTTTGAACATTGCTAACTGTGGTCTTGCTAACATCAAAATGTTCTGCCATCTTCTTTTGGCTGCTGTTTCCCAGAAAATGTAGATGATCAACCTTTTCCTTCAATGTCAGTTCTTTGAGTTCTTTCCTTTGGGCTGTCATATTTTGATTAACTGTAAAATTTTTCAATATATGTAGACTATACCTACAATTCAGCCCAGTCCTCCCTGTTGAAAAATCTTCCATAACACATGATAAATAATATGATATGTGGTAATAAAACATGAAAAAAAGAACTTAAAGTAAAAAAAAAAATAATAATATACCTGAGGGGCAAAGCCCAACCTTCTACTCCTTGGTATAGAGTAGACTCAACTGGTCAAGTTATGGAGAGTAAATTAATATTGTGTGTCACAGTCCAAGAGGTCAAGATACAATTTACAGAGATGGTCAATATAGAGAGGTCAGTCTTCAAATGAGTACCTGTGGTACATGTGTGGTCTATGAAAATTAGGTCAACTTAAGGAGGTGGTCAGTGTAGAGTGGTGGTCATCTATGGGGGTTTTACTGTACCTTATCATGACACAGTTCATGCATGCAACAAAATATCACATGTACCCCATAAATGCAAATAATGCAAATAGTATTATGGTAGTAAAAAAATTTAAAAATAATTATCATCTTCATTTTTATATCAATATATTAATATGTAATATTATTTACAATATATAATAGTTATGCATATTATATAATTATAATTATAGGATTATAGAATACATTCTATATACTACATAGTATACAGAATAAATAATACTATGTTATATAAATTTATCATTAATATAATCAATTAACTACTCATAATAATAGGTCTACTATTGCTTATAACAAATTACCACAAAGTTTTCAGTTTAAAACTATACACATTTATTATCTCACTGTTTGTGTGGATCAGTAGGTCAGGCATGGTGTAGCTGGGTCCTTTACTTAGGGTCTCTGCAGGTTGCACAATCAGAGTGCTGGTCAGGCTGCTGTCTTAATGGGAGGCTTTACTAGGGAAAAATTGGCTTCCAAGCTCATTTAGGTCTTTCACATAATTCTTATTTCTCTATGACTGAAGTCCATGGTTTTTTGCTGGTTATTTCCTGGAGGCTGCCCTAAGATCCTATAATGCATGCACAGTTCCTTGTAATGTGGGCTTACTCTACACATCAGTTTATTTCATCAAGCCATCAAAGAGGTTCTCTTGCTGCCATCAACTAAGATGGATTCTTATATAATGTAACTTAACCAGGGAGTGACACCCTGCCCCCCATCACCTTTGCCATATAGCATAATGGGAGCTGGGGTGTGACCTCTTGGACCATTGCTAGTTCTGTTGGCTGGAAGGAGGCTTGAGATCCCAACCACACTGAGGGGGAGGGCATTACACAAAGGCATGGATACGCGAATGGAAATCACTATGATCACCTAAGGGCTTGTCTGCTTATCATTACTTTTATGAAAATCCACTTGCTTAGAGAAAGAAATGTGCATTTAATTTTGTTTCCATTGCTCTATCAATCTAACCAGGTCTTGGTAAATCTCCTGAGGTGCGTCCTGTCCAAGGTAAAAATCCACATGATTGTAGTGTGGAATCAGCTTGTAATAAATAAGGTTTGCAATTTTAGGAAGTAAATTTTCAACGTCCTTGGGATCAGCCACAACGTCCTGTCCACCGCTCCACATTGCCGTTGGAATTTCCATCTTAGTAACATTGTATAAAGGTGGTATAAGCTAAAAACAATGAAAGAGATAGAGGAAAAAAAGTTTTTGCAGAAAACTACGTTATAGAAGTAACATTAACTATCAGCTATGGAGCAAATTCTTCAAATGTGCAATTAGGATATGCTTAATAATATACGAACATTAAAATGTTAAAATGGGCACTAATATGAATTATGAATAAAAAAGACAATCATATTTCTGACTTGCATTTTTTGGAAATTAGGAGCAGATCTCAGTGTAAAGGAGGTTTTTTCTTTATGAGGTATCATCTTTCTACGGGCACTTGATCTAAAAGCATGATCTTTTGAACAAAATACTAGATAAGATAAATATTCCTTCTCATAGACAGAAATCTAGGCTTAATGACATTACTGATACTTGGGCATCAGCAGACTCATCAGGGAAGACTAAGACCAAGGTATGAAAACAAACATTTGAAGTTAAGAAGGAGCCCATCTGTTAGAGAGAAAAAGAGCGGCTATAGTGCTAAACTCCGAGCAAGTTTTCCCTTACCCTTCTTTCCTGCGCGGATCTGATACTTTTCTTAACTTGATAGCTTTCACAGTAGAAGAATGCAAAGTATAAGCATTTAAATGCAAAGATAAAGAGAGTCAAAGACTGAAAAACAACTATGAACACATAGGTAGCAACAAATATTAGCAAAGTATTTCCGAGGAGCCCCTGAATTAGAACACTTTTATTACAATGACTTAATGACTCTACGAAGGTTGCAAGGGGGGGTCCGGAAGATGATAAAGCAAAAGTGAATATTAAGATTCAAATTCAGATGCTGGTGGATTTGGGCTGAAAATTTTTTAAAGTTTATTTTTAATTGACAGATAAAAACTGTATATGTTTATCTGGAAAATATTTTTACTTAATTTCTTAGTAATAAAGGATTATTGGTGGCTGGGCGCCCATACTCAGTGGTTAGGGTGCTGGCCGCATGCTCCAGGGCTGACAGGTTTGAACCCAGCCCAGGCCGGCTAAACAAACAGCCACATGTTCTGGTGGGCACCTGTAGTCCCCGGTACTGGGGAGGCTGAGGCAAGTGAGTCCCTTGAGCCCAAGAGTTTGAGGCTGCTGTGAACTATGACGCACAGCACTCTACCAAAGGTGACGAAGTAAGACTCTGTCTCAATAAATACATTTTTAAAAATGTATTAGAAAGAAAAAGATCATTGGTGATTACACTGGTAATTATATCTGTTTAGTTTATAGTGTTATTGTAGCAGTGACTTTTAAACACGCACATAGTTCATTCTCAGATTGTTTTGTACTTTCCCTTTTCCCCCAAAGTCCCAAGCAAAATAGTCACATAGTTGTGGTTTAGAATGAATCTGTAAACACAATGATAAAAGCTAATAGCTGTGACCCAACTCTCATCCAAGCAGGTCTCTGAGTCTTATAGGGTAAGCCATCATCTAAAAAGCTTTTCCTAAAGAAACTACAGGAGCATGCTAAGACAAAGAATTCCCTAACTGTGAGAGAAAATAGTACTCTGACATACTATGTGTCTGGCAAACCTCCCCCCACAGACCTAACTATAGCAGTTTAGGAGAAGAATCCGATTTTGCCCACCAGTTGGAGTTATGTATTTTCATTATTGTAGTTGTTATGGTGGCATTGAAAATCACCTTGTTAAAAGATTTCCGAATTTCCATATCCCAGATTTGAAAAACCCTTGGTGTGTCCTTGGTGGCTACTTGTTTATTTTGAGCTCAGTCTATAAGCAAGAAGCCAAAATCATTATTAGCGTTCCTTATGTATTGGGGGGGGGAGGCATAACAATCACAGCAATACATATATAGAATTTTTGCTCTACAAGTTTCTACACGTAATGTCATAAATGTCTTGACACACCATTCCTTGCCACACAGGGATGCTTCTTCCTAAAGGCAATATTTCTGACTAATATAACTTTAATAATCCACACTTTGGCCTTTTTTTTTTAAGTAGCTAGTAAATGACATCTCAAAGAACTATTAGAACAGTCAAAGTTCATTTTATCAGAGATGATCAGAAGTCAGATAATAAACGCAGATGAGGTATTTTAAACTCTCTTTAATATACCGTAAGTGCTGTGAGTTTTAAGGAATAAAAGGGAAGGAATAAGTGTGGAGGACAAAGAACGGACTTTAGATCCAGGCATTCTGAGTCATATTCTGATTATTTACTGGCTAAATAACTTTGGTAATTTACCTAGCCACTCTGATCCTCTTAAAAAATGGAGATGACAATAATTGCCTTGCTAGGTCATTGTAAGGAGCAGGCATAATGATATTGCACATGGTAAGAACCCAGTAAGCAACCTGCAAAACAGCAACAAGCAATACCTAGGGTAGTGAACGGGAAGCAGCAGGTACTTAATGAGTGGATACACTTCTGTTAGTTTATTTACAATGATCATTATTATTGTACCTGGTGGAAATGCATCAGATTCTCATCAGGGTTTCCCCAGTCAAAAGCTTGGAGCTGACCAGAATTAACAGCCTAAAATAAAGTAGAAATAGCAAACACATTAAAATGATAGAAGAAAATACTATACACTTAAAGATAGGAACCAGAGATATACCAAGAAAACTGACCTTATGTCCCCCCATAAAACCTAAATTTCAATAAAGATGAATAAGGCAAAAAATAAATAATGATAAAAATTAACACTAATTCATAGAACTCCCTCCTGTGCCTTTCCAGTGAACCTCCTCTTACAGCAATGCCTTTAAATGTTACAGTGCTGTGTAGAAATGTTTTTAAAAGATGCTTAATGGAATAATTCCTGAATATCTTGGCTCCAGGGTTTTTACCATTTCCTTTTAAAAAGACATCAGTTCTACATTGCCTACAGTAAAAAACTGCGGTTATTATTACTAAACAACTTTGTACATTATTTCCATGAAGTGCTCTAAGCCATCACGACTATATTCCCTATCTTTAAATATTTCTGTCGCTAGTGGAAGGACTGTTTGCCCACTGAGCTCCCCCAGTTCTGTGTGAGGGACAGTGCTGCCTCTGCCTCCCATGTGTGGGGCCACACCATCCACTGCGTTATGAGCAATGCAGCCAGGGGCTGAGCATCTGAGACATCAGGTGTGTGACTGCATCTGCATTTAGGTGTTTAAACCTTAAATATTAAAATAAAGAAATTCATATACTTAGGATTTTCTTTTTCTGTGTTTGCCACCCATGTTGGATTGAGGGGGCAGATGATGTTTACATCTACCTTAAGCCCTTCTACTCAGACTACGCTAAGCTTTTTTGTAGCTTGAATTTCAGGTATTTTTTACTACTCATTGATTTAATTATGATTATAGAGGAAGAAGTCTGGGGCTATTAAAATTCTGCAAGTTTTTAGCAATGGGAGACAATAGAATGTACCGGTTAGGAACGTGGGCTCTAGCATCAAATGAACCTAATTTGTATCCAGGCTTAACAGATTACTGAGTCTGTGAGGCAAGGTGAGATATTTGTGAAATGAGAATGCCATTTTTTCCCACAGGATTGTGAAGATTATGGTAACCCCTATAAAGCACGTAGCCCCTAGTAATGCTCACAAATAGCTCTTTCCAAGATTACTAGCATCATCATCATCATCACCTTGCCTTAGCTATCTATATAACTTATGACCAAGTAGTTTATTTCTGTTCTGAAGAGGATTTTCTATTAAAGTCAATTGTGAGAGGCATTAGGAATTGCCTATGATACTTGTACAGTAGGAATATCAGTGCCTTTATGGAAAGACCCCTAATGAGAATTCAATGCGACTGAATGAAACACATATGAACATCAAGAAGAGCACATAGTACTTACTCGATAACTATGAAGTTAAATTTTTATTACCTGGGAGGGCATGCCTATCAGAGGAGTCTATCTGTTTCTTCGCCAATAAAAGGCCCTATATTCTAAACATCTTTCTTCTTATATAAGGAGCTTGAAGGCTCATTTCCTGAGAGTCAAACTCTTCAAAGCATTTCAGAAATCCTCAGTGTATTTTTAGGCTATCTAGAGTAGCAGATTCTCAACTTTAAAGCAGGGAATCCATTTATTAGGATATTGGTTAAAATGCAAATTTCTAGGTGTGTCCTAATAAAATTTGGAGAAAGATTCCACATCTATAACCACACACAAAATTATGTATATATTGTTTTTACTTTCCAAAAGGGGTTCAGACTAAAGTTACTGGCCAAGAATACAGGCAAAGATTACACACAAAAAAAGAATGAACACACACACATGGACGGACACACACACACACGCTCTCATACACACTTGGCTCAGAAAGCCGTACCAATTGAATGTGATCTATCTCTGAGGTTACTGAATATTGAATAATAGAGTAAAAACAAATAAAACTTTAACTGAAGGCAAAAACACAAACCATCAATTTATTTTAATCCCTCCTTAGCACTTAATTTGCCCTACATAAAGCATTATTTCCACATTCTGAAAGGTCCCATATGTCTATTGGAGGATGAAAAGATCTTTCCGGAATAGCCTGCATCATTTGTTAGAGCTGATGATTTCCCAAAAGGGAAATACAAGCTTTCCCTTGAAAGGGCAGTTTAGAATAATCAAAGGGTCAGAAATCAGAATATTCAGGAACCAGGCTGAAAACTCTGACACAAGAGGACAAGGGGAATAAAAAGGAGTGATGTAAATCAGGATAAAGGGGTGACGCTGATTCCAAAAACATCCGTGTGACAGTGGCAGGTGCCCGCTAAGGATCCTGCAAGGAGATGTGTGCATTAAGCAAGAGTAAGAAGCACGAACCTGGGCCCAATGCAGCATAGTTTGAACAGATGTTCCCGCAGGGTTCTGTGACAAATAAACATCCAAGCGACTCTGCAAAGAGAGGATTTCTGATCTAGACACAATCATACCACAGATACATTTTCAAAACGTTCTTCTATTTCTTTTTTTCCCTTTTCTTTAAGGAAAAATCATATACCATACCCTTTGCAGACATATTAACTGAAGAAACTTGTCTTTAAGAACTTTTCTCCCCAGCTCTCCTCTTCTGGCCTGAGCATGGTCTTCATAAAGCCCATAGAAGGCGTCTGATCAAGACAGAAGGTAATGCACCTTTTCTCCCTAGACTCACTTCACATAGGTCCAAGAGTATAGGAGATCCAGGAATAAAAGCCCAGGGACCTTCCCTTTGTCCCAGGGTTAGTCCCAGAGGACATTCAGAGAAAACCGTTGATCATAAGACCCCGAAAGCAGATCTGGAAGTTTCCTTTTGTTTTCTTATTTCAAAAGTGTGGTAAATATTCTACAGGGATCTTTGAAAGTGTCTGGGACAGAAGCTATTCAGTTAGTATACTTATATTTCTTTTGGATCAAAACCCAAAACCCAAACAAAAAAATAAATGTTTAAACAACCCACACAAAACTTCTTAGAGCTTTAAAAAGTATGTATACCTGCTGATAAGCTATACAAAACTGCTGAATAAAAATAAAAATCTCAAAAAAAATCTCTAGGGTTGTGTTCCGAACATGTGTATTTTTTCAAATTGCACAAACACTACTTTTGCACCCCTGGCTATGTTTCACTAAAATAGATGTCCTCAAAAATGCCATAAAATGTTATAAGCCAGTCCTTAACAATGAAACAAAAGGTGATATATATGGATAATGAGGGCCCCAGTGAATAGTCAGGGTGTTATTTTGTGAGTCTTTATTTAGCAAACCCTTATATCACATCAAGAGGGTATTTTGAAAATACCTTCTTCTGTGTTTGTGTGAAGGTTTTTTTTCACCCAGCTCTGCCAACTGACTGACGTGCTCTCATCCATATGCTGTGCTTCTACATGACAGGCAAGACAAATTCCCTCGTAAAAGGAGAAAACGAGAAAAGAATACAGAACAGCAGTGGCCAAGCCATAATTTGCATTAAAAGCATTCCACAAATCTTGCTTGAAACCACAGAAAGTTGTTATCAGTGTTTTCCACTGACGGAGTGTAGACTGTGAGCTGAAGTCTGTGAGTTGGAGACCACCTCAGCTCTGTCCCATCTCTGGTTTCAAACCTATCTCCTCTATAGCTGAGCAGTAAATTCTTCTCTTTCCCCTCCCTCTCTTCAGGTCAGCAAATGTCAACTTAAAAAAGAAAGGTTCTCAGTTAAGTTGGAAATGACTTGACAAGAATCCTGATGCTGATCCCTCTCAGTACCCCTCAAACGATAAATCTGTAGCTATGATTGAAGAGCTGTCACAAAGGGAACAGAGTCAGGAAAGAAATCAGAGAAAAGCACAGACACGTTCAGACTATAGGATCCACACTGAGAAATCCATAATCTGCTGGATTTCTGCAAAATGCACAGCCTGAAAGCCTGGCTTTTCAAGCAGATTGTCTTGCTGGAACTTCACCCCTCCCCCAGGGCAATGAGGCCCCAAAGTCTTTGAGCACTGAGAGACCTGGTTCCCACAGGTGGTAGTGCTCTTTCAAATGGAGTGAGTGCAGGGAGTTGGGAAGATTGATGAGAGAAGGCGAAACACACTGGAAACAGCACAAAGGCTTTGATCTCATAGGAGAGAAAAAGTCTCTCAGGGAGGTGAGGGGATAGTAACTCTTTCCTCCCATTTCTGAGTGTGGCATGGCACCTGACTGCCCACAGGCTGCCCACAAGGCTGCCCAGGGGCTTAGTTGCTCATCTTGCAGTTTGTGTGTGAGCTCTCACTGGGTTCAGCCTTGACATCCTGCACCTGGACTGTGTTCCTATCCCAGGTTTTGTTTGTGTTAGGATCAAAAGTAATGTAGAATGATAAAAGTAAGAAGTAAATCAGTGCAATTAAGGTAGTTAGTTAAAGAAACAGTTTGGTTAGAAAATGTAAGCCCAACAAGAATGATGACATAAGGGTTTAGCCTTCTCCCATTTAGTGTATGTAATAAAAATGGAGCTAGCCCTGAGCAAAGGGCTTCCACTGGTCCTCACTCTTGAGAGGTGGACAGACCTCCAACCAAGCTTTCAAAAAACTTTCTTTCTGTGTCTTGACTTTTTATTTTTCCCTCATCCTCTTGTCTCTACCAGCCACTGGGAGAGAACTCATGGTATGGTTTGGGGCTGGTCCCCAACAACTGGCAAAAAAAGCCTTCTCCTTCTCCAAACCTATGAAAGAAGGTAGACTCACAGCCTTAGTTGGAAGTTGGAAGCCATGAACATACTAATAATATTCCAACAGACAAAAATGAAGCCTTGAGGCCAGCAGTGGTGGCTCACACCTATAATCCTAGCACTCTAGGAGGCCAAGGTAGGTGGATTGCTTGAGCTCAGGAGTTCAAGATCAGCCTGAGCCTCTAAAAATCTCTGTAAAAATAGCTGGGTATTGTGGTAGATGCTTGTAGTCCCAACTACTTGGGAGGCTGAGGCAAGAGGATCACTTGAGCCCAAGAGTTTGCAGTTGCTGTAAACTGTGATGCTGTGGCATTCTCCCCAGGATGACAAGGTGAGACTGTCTTAAAAAAAAAAAAGAAAGAAAGAAAAGAAAAAGAAAATCTTGAAATGTGGTTTATATGCAGTCTAGAATGAACTCTCATCACCTCTGTGCAAGAAAACCATTCTTTTCCCGAACCAACTCCTTATACATACCATGTTTAAGTTTTTGGCGTCAAATCCACACAGAGTAAATAGGAAGTTGCTGCATATACGGTGGAAGAGCTTCTGGTTGCACACTTTGGTGGCAATGTATTGGTTAAATAACGTATGTGGGTAGAACATTTTGTCACCAAACAATACCTGCAAAATTAGTTTGAAACATCATTAGATCTTCTGGATATGGATTTCAAGAGTGGAAAAAGAATGGTAGTGTATACAGACAACAGGTGACATCTGTTCAGTGTTAGACCTTAATAAAAACATGAGACTTTGTAATCCTCCCAACTCACCTCTGGATGTCTGTTCCCAACCACCTTTAATTGGGGCATTTTTTAGAATGCTCCCTCAAAACTAGTCCCCACAGGAAATTAGTGAGCCTTTGGAGTCAGGAATACCTGTGTTTGATTCTGAATTCTTTTATAACATAGGAACACATTTAATTTCTATTATCTTAAATTTTCTCACCTAAAAAATGGCAAAATCAATATCCAATAGGTAGGACTATTGTGAGATCGTAGGTCATATTTTAAAACACCAAGGTATAGTTCCTAGCACCTCGTAAACATTCAAAAAAATTAACTGTTATTAATATTAGTTCCCATTATAACTAGTGACTGATACAGACTTAATGAGCCATTCGTTCCAGAATCTCTTAATGAATTCTTTCCAGAGGCAAAAGCTTAAACCAAAGAAATACATCTTACAAGTCGAATTTCAGGGAAATGTTGCAAGTGAGTTGAACTTTGCAAACTCTTTGAATTATAATATAAATCAATATCAAATCCCTGTGCATGTAAGTCCAATCTTGCCTTTGCTTCCCAATAACGAGTTTTATAATCTTAGGATAATAAACTAGGTATGAAAGTGATAATACTTTTTTTAAATTTTAAAACTTTTGAAAACATTCATTTATAGTAAAAACTGACATACCTTAAATCTTTCTTCTAGAAAACTTTATTAACTGACAATTACTACTAAGGACAATAATAACTGGCATTTGTTTTCTTGCATTACTTCACCATAAGATCTTGTACTATCAAAAAAAAAAAAAGATCTTGTACTATCTTTGGTAAATCAGATCAAGTAAATTCCTACTGAGCATAACCTGTGGAATTCTAAGTTTGAAAAAACGGTTGTTTTGTATGGCCAAAGGTAATCTTTATTCAATAAAATATTTCATATTCCATGGAATATTAATGGAACATATGAAATACCAGGACTTTATACTCTTTTCATGCCCAAGGGAGGAAAAGAGGGAAAGAAGGAAATGGAGAGGGAGATACGGAGGAGAAAGAAGAGGAAAAAGAATAAGAAGGGAAAGGGAGGGGAGGAAGGGGAGAGGAGAGGAAAGAAGGAAGGAGGAGACGGGAAGGGAAGGGAAGGGAAAGGAAGGAAGGGAGTGGATGGGAAGGAAAGGGGAAGGGAAGAGCGACTGTACGTTAAAGTACTTCAAACCATACTTTTCATTCTTTAGCTTGGAAAGTAATAATAAGCCAATGAACACATTACCTGTCCATTCTGATCTCTTCTTTATTTTGTCACAATCACTGAGACAATTGGATAATATACCAGATAATTAATTTAACTCACCAAATTGAAATTCTTCCGAACTACCCCAATGATGACTTAATAGGAGTAGCAGCATAATCCAGAGTAAACTTGTTCTTTTAAAAGAATATTGACATCTAGTCTGTGTTTTGAAGTGTGATAACTTAAATAGATCTCCACATAAATAAATAATTGAAGTGAAGGATCTGATTTTAATCAGTAAAAAAAATGATTTTTCATTTACCAATACCTTAGTAATCTCTGGCTGGCAAAATAAAACAATCCATGTGAAAAGAATTAACCAGTACATAGATGTAATCCTCCATGCAAATATGATGTGAGGGAAGAGGTGGCATCTCCCATAAGGGAATCTTGTTCTCTGCTCTGATACCTGCAGTTAGTCTCTAATACGGAGTAAATTAGCATGCCATTCTCTGATTTCTCTCCACCTCTATATCCATACACGAGTGACTCAGCAAAATAACAATACATTTACCCAAGGAGGAATAATTTCTCCTTCATCCTAATTTAAAAGAAAGGATAGTGATGCAGACCAGCCAGCCATACAGCACATGGTAACATGTAGATGTAATTCCAAGCTCGTTCCAGAGGGGGCATATCTGTCACATAACAGTAAGGAGATGGATTCTTCCGGTCATTCATCTGATATCCTTGTGAGAATTAAAAAAGCACCCCTCCTTCTGGATACATGTGTAGCAGCCCATATAGCCTATGGCTAGGAGGAGAGAGAATTATAGGAAATACCTGTAATGGAACACCTTGGTGAGAAGGGCATGGAGAGAGATTTAGTGCTAACTAGCATGAGAGAGCTCGCGAGATGAGAGCATTGGAGAATTGGCAGTCTCTACACCTGTGGGGTTGAGAGGCACGAGCTCAGCCTTATATTAGGCTGGAGGAGCCAACAGTCTGTAAGCATGCGCATTCTATCACGGGCATGCTTACTCTGATTCTGTTTCCTCTCCTGCCTGCAGGATGCCAGCACGGCATCTCTGCTGAAGATTACCAAGCTCTGCTAAAGACTATGATCTATCTGTTCTAAGAAGACCTTTACTATCTCTAAGCCACTCTCTCTATCTCTCTCTCTCCAGCTAAAGTAGCTAGCTCTCAAGCACTAAGAGAAACTGTTCCTGAGCAAGGGAGCTTAGTGGTCCACGTCCAGAACCTACCTAAGCTGGGCCCGAGACCTGGCCAGTCCTGGGCCCTGACAAGTGGTGTCAGAAGCGGGATAGTGAACGCCACTGACAAATGGGGCTGTGAGCAGGATTCAGTGAAAGTGGAACAAGAGGGAAATAAGCTTTAGCAAAATAAGAAAAAGAGAAGAGAAATAGAAGTATAGGGAAAAGAAATATCTAAGAAGGATAGCCAACAGCAGGCCTTTCTCATTTGCTTTTTTCCTCTTCTTTCCTACGTTTTCTCTTTCCAAATTCTAACTACTACTTCTGTGGAAAAGCCAGTAAAATCCTTTAGCCTCTGCTGTGAAGCGGCTGGAGGAAAAAAAAGCGACTAGAGAAAAAAAAAGCAGAAAAAAGCCTTTAGACAGAAGGAAAGAGAAAAGATAGAACTAGGAGATAAGAACCGTTAGTAAACAAGCCTTTTAGCCTCAGGGGTGAGAAAAGCCTTTGGTAAAACAGCAAAGAGAAAAGTTTGGGAATAGTTGCAAGAGTTTATTAAGTTAGGGAAGAGAACTTCTAACTGCCTTCCCCTAATACCTTCGCCCAATGCCAGCAGGAAGTAGCTTTTGAGAGACCGACGCCCGAATCCCTTTTAGGCAGTTAAGAGTTCTGCTTAAAAAGAAAAATGAGGTAGATTGAGGCCGGTGAAGAAACAGAAGAAATGAAGTTTCATGAAACTAAAACTCCAGAGTGAAAAAACAGCTAAAGAGCTCCTGTCCCTTTAAGGCAGTCAAAGGTTCTAAGAATTGAAAAGGAAAGATTGTAAAAAGTAGAAGGCCAAAAGAAAGCCAGTAAAGAAAGATCATGGCAAATGAGATACAGCAGTTGAAATACAGTTGAGAGATCAGATGAATCTTCTAGTAGAAGCAGGTAAACGCCATATTGACATGACAACTCAAATTAGGCAGCTGGAAGATCAGAGGGTAAATCCCCCAGGTAACATCAAATGCCATAAATGTGGGAAGCTAGGTCATAAGAGAAAAGGGTTTAAAAGGGGGAAAAGAATTTTGAATGCTAAAAAACAGAGCATGTAAACCTCCAGGTGTACGTCCCAAGTGTAAAAAAGGCTTTCATTGGGCAAACAAATGCCATTATCAACTTGATAGAAGATGGAACACCTTTATTGTAGGGAAATTATCAGTTGGGCCAGAATCAGGACCCACTGGTAAACGAAAGAAAAAACAGTTTAGTATTATTTCAAACCATTCTCAGAAAAAACCAGTATAATTCAATTCTGTGCCATGGGAGCCCTCTGCCAGCTTGGTTAGACCTGTGGTGCCTTAGTGTAAAACGAGAAATTAAACCAGATCAATGGATGATAATGGAGAATAATTAGATTAAATGTTTGTGGAATATTAGGTTATCCTGCGTGGTGAAGGGGTAACCGACCTCTCATCAGTGTCTGTGCATTACAACCGGGTCCAGCTAAGGAGACTGGACACGGCCCAAAGGGGAAGTGTCACTCAAAAGAAAGTGAAGCCTTTGGGAGATTATGAGAGGTGAGAACAAAGGGAGGGAAGAGTACAAGTTAAACCACCTCTGTGCTAGGGAACTCCATTTGAAAAGGAGTCGAATCAATTAGCAAAAACTTCGTTGGAAAAGCAGCTTGAAAGCAGGATAAACTCTATCAAGGAATTGTGAAGGGTGGTGCTTTTTGGACCACAAGTAACAGTTCCACCAGAGGAACTGCCAAGTGTGGAACCATTAATCCAGGAGTAACAGTCTTTTGCGATCTGTGAAGGGTGGATTTCAGTACCTCGAGTAGCAAAACCTTTGGAATAGCGAGAGAAAAATCCTTGCTTGCAAAGATTGCAAGGAAAGCGTTATTTTTTGTTCGTCCAGTAAAGTAAATATCAAAGGAAAGTTCCTACAGTTAAAGAAATGATAAATTCTATCAGGAAAGATTTCAGTTTTCTCCATTTAAAAAGACCTTTAAGGGAATTAACATCACAATCATTTTCCTCTAGCAGTGGCTAATAGTTTACATCTGTATTGGGCTTCCTCATTATAGAGCCCATACCTGGAATTCTGAACTGATAATTACCATCTTTTGCCTAGAAAGAAAAGGGCTAGATAACAAGAAGAACTGCCCTTACCACATTAAAAGTTATTTTGTTTGTATATAAAAAAGGGAGAAACGTAGCAGCTCACATAGCTTATGACTAGGAGGAGTGAGAATTATAAGAAATACCTGTAATGGAACAGGCGAAAAGGGCATGGAGAGATTTAGTTCTAACAAGCATGAGAGAGCTCGCGAGATGAGCAGTGGTGAATTGGCAGTCTCTACACCTGTGGTGTTGAGAGGCACAAGCTCAGCCTTATATTAGGCTGGCGGAGAAGGCAGTCGGGAGCATGCGCATTCTATCACGGATCCACTTACTCTGACTCTGTCTTCTCTGCTGCCTGCAGGACGCCAGCACGGCGTCTCTGCTGAAGATTACCAAGCTCTGCTAAAGACTAAGATCTATCTGTTCTAAGAAGACCTTTACTCTCTCTAAGATACTGTCTCTCTCTCTCTCCGGCTAAAGTAGATAGGCCTCAAGCACCTACGAGAAACTGTTCCTGAGCAAGGGAGCTTAGTGGTCCGTGTCCAGAACCTGCCGAAGCTGGGTCCGAGACCTGGCCAGTCCCGGGCCCTGACAAGTGGTGTCAGAAGCGGGATAGTGAACGCCACTGACAAATGGTGCTGTGAGCAGGATTCAGTGAATGCGGACCGAGAGGGAGATAAGCTTTAGCAAAATAAGAGAAATAGAAATACTTGGCAGGAAAAGAAATATCTAAGACAGGCGACGGCAGGCCTTTTTCATTCGTTTTTTCCTCTTTCCTACGTTTTCTCTTTCCAAATTCTAACTACTACTGTGGGGAAAAAAAACCGGTAAAAGCTTTTAGCCTCTTGTAGCTGGAGGGGAAAAAAAAGGCAGAAAAAAGCCTGTAAACAAGAGGGAAAGAGAAAAGATCAAACTAGGGGAGAGAACCTTTAGCAAACAAGCCTTTGGTAAAACAGCAAAGAGAAAAGTTTGGGAATAGGTTGCAAGAGTTTATTAAGCTAGGAAAGAGAACTTCTAACTGCCTTCCCCTAATACCTTCGCCCAATGCCAGCAGGAAGTAGCTTTTGAGAGACCGACGGCCCAATTCCCTTTTTGACAGTTAAGAGTTCTGCTTAAAAAGAAAATTGAGGTAGATTGAGGCTGGTGAAGAAATAGTGGAAGTAAAGTTTTGTAAAACAAGACTCTAGAGTAAAAAACAGCTAAAGAGCTCCTGTCTCTTTAAGGCAGCCAAAGGTTCTAAGAATTGAAAGGGGAAAGACTGTACAAAGTAAAAGGCCAAAAGAAAACCAGTAGAGAAAAATCATGGCAAATGAGATACAGTAGTTGAAATACAGTTGAGCGATCAGATGAATCTTATAGTAGAAGCAGGTAAATGCTATATTGACATCTCAAATTGGGCAGCTGGAAGATCAGAGGGTAAATCCCCCAGTTAACATCAAATGCCATAAATGTGGGAAGCTAGGCCGTAAGAGAGAAGTGTTTAAAAGGGAAAAGAACATTGAATGCTAAAGAAAAGGAACAAAGAGCATGTAAACCTCCAGGTGTATGTCCCAAGTATAAAAAGAGCTTTCATTGGGCAAACAAATGCCGTTATCAACTTGATAGAAGATGGAACACCTTTATTGTAGGGAAATTATCGGTTGGGCCAGAATCAGGACCCACTGGTAAATGAAAGAAAAAACGGCTTAATATTTTCATCTCAAACCATTCTCAGAAAAAAACAGTGTAATTCAATTCTATGCCGTGGGAGCACTCTGCCAGCTTGGTTAGACCTGTGGTGCCTTAGTGTAAAACGGGAAATTAAACCAGATCAATGGATGACAATGGAGAATAATTAGATCAAATATGTTTGTGGAATATTAGGTTATCCTGCGTGGTGAAGGGGTAACCGACCTCTCATCAGTGTCTGTGCACTATAACCGGGTCCAGCTAAGGAGACTAGACATGGCCCAAAGGGGAAGTGTCACTCAAAGTGAAGCCTTTGAGAGATTATGAGAGGTGAGAACAAAGGGAGGGAAGAGTACAAGTTAAACCACCTTGTGCTAGGGAACTCCATTTGAAAAAAGGGAGTCTGGAATCAATTAGCAAAAATTTCACTGGAAAAGCAGTTTGAAAGCAGGATAAACTCTGCTATCAAGGAATTGTGAAGGGTGGTACTTTTCCATGAGAGAAACTGCCAAGTGTGGAACCATTAATCCATGAATAATAGTCTTTTTGCGATCTGTGAAGGGTGGATTTCAGTACCTGGAGTAGCAAAACCTTTGGAATAGCGAGAGAAAAATCCTCTGCTTGCAAAGATTGCAAGGAAAGCGTTATTTTTTGTTTGTCCAGTAAAGTAAATATCAAAGGAAAGTTCCTACAGTTAAAGAAGTGATAAATTCTATCAGGAAAGATTTCAGTTTTCTCCATTTAAAAAGACCTTTAAGGGAATTAACATCACAATCATTTTCCTCTAGCAGTGGCTAA